ATGGAATGATCAGTGTTAACCTGGTGTTTAATTATCGCACTCTTTATTGCACCACTATTGCCTTTTCACAGCCATGCTGGATAGTGTTCTTGAATCCGCTTGAACAGGGTGTGAGTCGAACGACCGATGTACCTAGCTCCACACCTAATTTTCTTAACTGATTTTGTATTAGGTAACTCCAACAACCGATCTTCATCTGTTTAGTTAAAATAATCATATCCAATTGTATTTTTGTTTGACAAACTTAATGTACACATACATACAAAATAACACACGCATATATATTTGCGACTGTACAGCTAAGAAAATGAATTCACAGAAAAGAGTCTCTTCGCTGATCTACGTGTTTTGTTTTATTATCATTATTATCGATATGTAGGTGACATTCGCACTGCTTGTAACACAGACTTCAACAGATAAGAGCTTTTGAATTCTGTCAATAGTGTTCGTGTTATGTACTCGTCGCTGAATTATTGTTATGGACTGGTCGAGAAACTAATAGTCCTGACGCGAGAAGGCGGAAATCAGAAGACCACTAGGTTTGCGATGATACTTCTATTGTCCAAACACAAGGAGACGAAAATAAATGGTCTCACACCAAAGTGGTAAGTAAGTAAAGTAGTTGTAAAGTAAAGTAGTTCACACAAATTGTGAATGCGAATATATATAAATAATTCAGACAAGCGTGGGAAAAATCATTAGACAGTCTTAACATGAATGGCTAATTATAATGGAGTGTCGATCCAATTATACATAGCGAATATAGCAGACATGCCAACAAACATATATGGATATATGTCACCAAGCAACGGACTGTCAACAAACACTCATATTATATATATATAATATAAGGAGAATACACATTATTAAAGGAGACAAGTCCATACAAGTGAAGTGGTCACAGACTAACCGAGCAAACAGAAAGAGAGACCAACATGCACACACACACATAAATATATATATGTGGATACATATCACCTCCCCTTTTGAGAAGATGAATGATTAGTAGGATGTTTACCTGGGGGTTTATCTGGGACCTTTGGGCTTGTTGTTGACGCCTGTCGTTTCGTCTGATTGTTGGGTTTGCGGCTTCGGCTCCGTCCGGAATTGTCTAGCATTTTATGCTTCTTGACTGTATTGCGTAGAGAATTTAGTGGGACATCAGCCAGATGCAAACGATCGAACCAATCAAGTCCCAAAACATTTAAATCATTCTTCGTGACGTAACAAATTCCTGTGAATTTGGTATTGCGGAAGGAAACAGAACATTTGAGTTCACCAATTAGTTTGAGCCGCCCACCACAGGCGCTGACAAGAGACTGGGAAGTATTGGTGATAGGTGGTCTGCCAATATAATTCCAAAGTTTCTCTGATATAACAGTAATATCAGAGGCGGTATCTAGCTGCAGACGTGCATCATGACCATTCATCTGAAGATCAAGATATTTCCGCATAGCTGGTGTTGTGACTTGACAGGTTGCGCGTAGACTCAATGATCTTTTTGGAGATTTAGGACCAACATTTTGTTGAGCTTTTGCTGGATTCTGATATCTGGGTTTGCGTGGCTGACAAAAACCATTTTTATGACCGATGATTTTGCACTTGCTGCAACGATGATTTTTGTATGGGCAAGACTTTACAAAGTGCCACGCGCCACAATGCCAGCATGGTGATGGAGGGGTCTTCTTTGTCGTATTTTGTGAAGTTGGACGAGTATGTGTAGATTTCCGCGGAACATTAGGAGAAGTAGGTGGGTCAGGAGTAGCTGATGAGAGATTTTTGCTCTTGCGTAATGCACGAATATCAGAGCTTCTCGGAGGTGTTGATTCGACCAAGTGTGTGTCTTTCTGCAGATTAATCAGCCGTTGATATTCATCAGCTATGTCATGTAATGTTAACTTGGGATTTTGTTCTAGCTGATTGAGCAGTCGAGTTCGGATATCTGTGAAACGAGGAGATTGGAGACTGCATATGAGAATCAAGGCTTTGAACTGATCATCTGTTAAGGACCTGAGTCGAAATCTCTCACATTCTCGGTTGACTGTGCCAACGTGAGTAAGAAAATCATCATTTTCATTCATTGCCAGCTTGAGGCAACGATAACGTATACTGAATAATGAGGAGTGGTCTCCGAAATGTTCACGCAGCAACTTTATTGTATCATCGAAACAATTGTCACGTGGTTTCTGTGGTAAAATTAGGTTGCAGTACCGTTCATATTCTGCCGGACCCAATTTACGTAGCAAAACTCGCACCTTCCAGGCATCGTCTTGTGAGGCGAGATCAACAGTGAATAAATCCTCATAACGTTGATACCATGTGTCAAAAGTGACATTAGCCTCTGGGTCATAATTGAACTGTGAAATGCTGTTCACAATTCCGTCGACAGATGGTAGCATGGTATGATTGGGATTGCTTGAAGGTGGAGCTGGACCAGTCTGTTGGTTGACGAACATTTCCATTAATTTCATTTGTCGTTCAAACAATAATTCCAATTTAATAGGATCCATAGTAAATTGTTATGTTGTTGCTGCTGTGTGGTTAATAGTAGTTTTCCCCGTCGCCAAATTGTTATGTTCTAGTTTTCCCCGTCGCCAAATTGTTATGTACTCGTCGCTGAATTATTGTTATGGACTGGTCGAGAAACTAATAGTCCTGACGCGAGAAGGCGGAAATCAGAAGACCACTAGGTTTGCGATGATACTTCTATTGTCCAAACACAAGGAGACGAAAATAAATGGTCTCACACCAAAGTGGTAAGTAAGTAAAGTAGTTGTAAAGTAAAGTAGTTCACACAAATTGTGAATGCGAATTTATATAAATAATTCAGACAAGCGTGGGAAAAATCATTAGACAGTCTTAACATGAATGGCTAATTATAATGGAGTGTCGATCCAATTATACATAGCGAATATAGCAGACATGCCAACAAACATATATGGATATATGTCACCAAGCAACGGACTGTCAACAAACACTCATATTATATATTATATAATATAAGGAGAATACACATTATTAAAGGAGACAAGTCCATACAAGTGAAGTGGTCACAGACTAACCGAGCAAACAGAAAGAGAGACCAACATGCACACACACACATAAATATATATATGTGGATACATATCAGTTCGCTCCAACTGTTCATTTATTTTTTTTATTTTTGATAACAGCTTGACTCCACACTGTATTTTTTGTACAGGTATGGAATTTTCAGCATGGATATCGGTAGCCCAAAATTCGCAGGCCGACCATAGATATCAGGTGCGCGTCGGCGTGGGCTCGAACCCCGGACCATGTGGATGGTCGGCGAGAGTCCTAACCACTGTGCCACCGACGCACTTTATCCATACACGCGAATATACACCGATATGACTGGGTAAAGGAGAAACCAAATACATTTGATGGGCTGGTTTTTGCTTTTACTTGGTGAGAAGCAGACATTCAGTTAAACTACAGCACGAATCTCTGGGGATCTATCAACTTCTCAGAGACCTATCAAGAGGATTTCGACTGCATCTTCTATCAGTAGCCGAAGACTTCTTCTCTGTATCCAGAAGAAGTAGGGACGGATCAGTTTATTTACACTGGCCTACAATAAAGACAGCAAGTCCTTCATAAACCTTGATATTTAAAACTTGAATCTCTATCCCGTTCACTTTTCCCTCATTGTTTCACTGAATAACTTTAATTTCAGACCTTTTACGTTTTTCTGATCTTTCTTACTAAGTCTATTATTCTATGTCTACACAATGCCTTTCGCACTTCTCATTATTATTCTTCGAAAATTCATTTCTTCACATTTATATTCATTAAGAGCACTTCTGTGTTTACACCATTCCGTTATTATTTTATTTTATCATCATTATTCGTCACCCTTTGAACTTACATCTAGAGTATCCAATTTATTTGTTTATTTCACTGTAGTATTCATACTGTCTTCCCTGAACAGTAATCACATTTCACCCTTTGTAGCCTACATTTTTATTGATTATAAGTATACATACACGTCAATACAGTATTTCATATAACTATAATTTGTCTTTATTGGCACTCATGTATGCCAGAATGACTGAATTTCAACTTGAACCACAAATTGTCTTCTGTTAGGAAAGCATTGTGAACCTGGGAGTGCTGGACAGCTACTTTGCCCCTATTAAAATCACTTAAATCTTTACAAACTAACCTTTGAAAATTATTCTAGTGTTCACTAGTGACTGACTAAATGATGAAATTGCATGAAGTTTTAGTAGGGTGGGGTCTTGAGCAATGGGACCGCCAAGCTGGGCATAAGGATAAATACCGATGAAATAGGGAAGTGGTCGTGCTATACCAAGAAACAGCAGAAGTTAGAATTAGTGGACTATTGAATCCCACGCCAATGGTTAAATGGTATACGAGTTCGCTTTGTAACCTGGATTCGATCCCTAGTGGTGAGGTGATGCGTGTAAACTGTTGAAGAGTTTCAAAAAAGGACGGGACAGGAGTCCACTACCCTGTGGTTTCGAGTGGTTCTGTAACTGAGGTAAATGGTCTATCATATGCTCTTATGGTGTTCTCGTGACTGTTGTTGCTAGATGTGCCAAGGGTGATAGGAAAGTACGTAACCTAATGGTGGTGTGCCAAGTTTGAAGAAGGCTGTATACTATATACCTGCATCTCGCGCTGATAATGTTTTCCTCGATCGTATAATGGTATCTCCTTCTGTCAAGTGGAAGGTCTCGGTTTGATTACCGGTCGAGGAGCTATTCAGCTGTACAGGAAACATCGGATATGGATGTATTTCAATATCTGTAACTAAGTAATCTTGTGATAAGTCAATCTGGCTCGGATCTCAAATTACCCCAGAAAATTCGTAGCATTTATGGCCCGGATATTTATGTGATATGTGCAGATGACTTCCAATTCACCTTATTCGTATTGTGATTGGTAGCCTGGGTGTGAACTTCATAAAGATTAAACTTCAAATAAAAAATCAATATTTTCACAAACCAATGGCAGTGAAATCTCAAGGTCAATTAAATTTAGTTCAGTTCATTGGCTGCTAGACAGAGACCACGTTAAGTGAGTTTGTTAGACGATTTGATTTTTCTCATTTTCCGTACTAACGGCCACAACGATGCCGCTAGGCGGAGAACTTGAGAAAGCTTTTTCTGTTTATGATGATCTCAGACAAGGACCAAAAGCTGAATATTATTATAAGTTGTCCTCACTTAGTTTTATTATATGCCTCACCATTCATCATATTATCAGCCCTTGGATATTTAGTCGATATAATGCATCATATCGTAATCTTCCTCGAGCTCAAAGGATGGAATGGGATTCACGGTAAGTTTATAAAGTGGAACTGAGGTATTTATGTCTGTTTATGAGAAATTTTATTGTATTTGATGCCTTAAGGCATCAAGCTTACTATATTGCTGAATTAAATCTCGCTAATTCTGAACTAACCCTAGCATTCTATAATGAGTAAATTCTGAAATGGTTTGATTACGTACACAGACTAGAACTCAGTGTTGGTTTTCAGCATGACCGACACTAATTTAACGCCCTGTGCTTTTTCTAGGCGTTTTCAGAAGTAGCTCAGAATCTACTGGATTTGCTAATCAGTGTTGTTTCAGCCCTCCTAACCGAAATTCAGCACTGACTAGGATTGCTTTAGAACAATTTTTAACCTGTTGTTAAGGTTCCGTCGACTAAACGAAGTTTTCAGTGCTCTTTTTAAGAACGACCAGAGTCATTTCAGTACATAGTGGGTTCATTCTAGTTAGGTAAGAAATCAATTTACAGTGAAAAGGCATTATCGACGCATAGGTTAGAATTATTGTAGGCTTACGTGTACATGCATTAGTATACCTTGCTTAGTTAAAACTTAGTATCGCAAATTTTTCATCATATTGGTCAGTGGCACTTAAAGCATGATCACTTAGAAAAAACTGCCTTATACATGGCGCTGAGGAACAGCACTCTTTAGTTTGTGATCAGGCTCATGTATTTCAGAAATTTAGAGAAATACTGCAGCAGTGGATTCACACCAGAACCTTTCATCTCAGAAAACATTATCTGGGAGTCATAATTTTGATGCACAAGTAAATACACACTCTGTTTGTGGTAAAAATAAACAATAGTAGCCAGAAAATTTTCCATTTGGATAAACCGTGACTTTAAACTTAACCTGTAACCCTTAACTGTAACTGCTAAATCTAATCTAACCCTTATTCATAAGTGTATACCATAAGCTCTCAACCTCATCCCTAACTTATAACCGTAATCTGACTTTTAATCTTAGCACTGGACTTTAAAAGTCGAGCAGAAAGCTCTCTGTACTAAACGTCCACTGTATTCATGACTGGTCATATTATTGTGTGTCCAAGTTTAGCTGGTGGCTGCTGTGGTTTATCCTCACTGTGTTTTCATTTTTTGTCTTAACACATACCTGGATTCGGTTCAGTTGATGGCTAAAATAATAATGTTTCAAATGCATAGGTACTCTGAAGTCAAGTCATGGACATGTGGACTTCAAAAGTTAGGTAGTACTTGCACTGTCTGCACTTAACACTGCTTCATTTTGCTTTTATTTGCTCAATTATGTTACCATAGCTTCTCGTTGAGCATTATGGTATCAATTTTCTTAATTGACATCAGCACAACTGTTTTGTTCCTACCACGTTTCAACTGATTCTCAATGCATACTACCCAGTCATACATCTCATTCAGAATGCCCACACCTTTGTTTATGATTCAGGCTAATAACTATGTCTTACCATTCTGAAGTTTGTTTAGTGCCACTGTCCCAGTTTTTGTATTTTGTGAGGTGATACTTTAATATATTCGTTTATTTATCCTAGTCACATATGTTTTGTACTTTTAGGGATAACGTGAATTACTCATATATGATTATCACTCAGAATTTTGTTTACTCACTAGTTCGGTTAGCCTAGCACCATATTGACCAAGTATTTTCGTTACTCACAAGACAGAAAGGAAGAAAAGTTGGAGTGCAATCCTTTTACAATTGTTACTTGTGTCACTGAACTGATGTTGTAAAACAAATGGTCTATTATTTAAAACTTAAAACTGTATACATTTGAGTGTGACAACATTACTCCTGCCAAAGCCTGGGCTGACCAAAAGCCCTCACGACGAATACAAGCACTAATAAAAGACTTAAGTAGAAAAAATATCCGAAATAGTTATTGATTGTTGGCTGTACAGTTTCATTTAGTTGCAGACCCCATACTAGGTTCTGAAACGTAGACCTACTTAAGTTCGTCCAAAACTTACTGTATTCCTTGGGCTGAACGTAGTATTTGACTCGGTCGATAGAGAGACACTGCCATTATTACGTTGCGAAATGACAAAGACTATTGCATTAATCAAGTTGCTTAACTCGAACTCATCCAACTGTGTACGAGCTTACAGCGAGTTGTCATCTGAAGTGATAAAAGCCAGAGGCGTTCTTCAGGGATGTCACCATTTTTACTTAGTGTTGATGTAACCTTGGTCGATTACTGTTTTTCAGCGACTGATTCGTTATATAGCAGGGGGTTTGTGGAATTAGTGTACAGATGTTATAGTCCTTCTAGGCGAAGACATTGATATAATGCCGTCTTCTAAACATCTGAGTATGTTTCGTATTCGATTCGCTGCTATGAAATATAAGATTCTGCAGGATTGGTTTGCAGGCTCTACTAGTTTAAAAAAAGAAATTAAATGTGTTGATTACTTAACTTTATTGGGAATTCGCATCAACTTTAATCGGTTATTTCGCCAACGAAATCCTTCTGTGGATTGAAAAGATAAGTTTGACACTGTTCAACTTCATCTTTAGCTCAGGCATGTTGTCTTGTTACCCAACAAAGGCGTGTATACAGTGTAGCAGTTCGCTCCTTTTTACTGTATTTGTGAAACATTGGTCGTTGGATGTGGAAGATATGGGAAAACTAGTTTTTGACTATGTGAGCTTGCTCTCACTTTCTTGTGTTAATTATAGCAGTATGGTCACTAATAATGGGGTTTGGCATAGAGTCCTAGGAAAGGAATAAAAGTTGACCGATGAGGTTATATAACCTTACTAACTAGGACATGTGCTGCGTATGTTGTTTCACTTCCTTCTATACCGATCAGTGTTAGCTGAAGTCTGACTAGGTTAGTGGAGAAAATGAAAACGTGACGCCTATGCGTGAAGTTCTTGACTATTAACCAGAGATGTGCAGACCATTTGGCTGTGGTCCTACTGATGCTAAGAACCAATGATTGGAAATTGTTGGTGATAAGGCTGCAAATCGTCTTCAGTGATGCAGATTCATTCAATACTTGTTATTGTCTGGACTCACTCACTTGAATGTACGACTTTGCAGTTAATTGCACCAGCTCAAGTCGCCATATTCAAGGTGTAGAAACCTAAACTTATGAAAAGTTAACGAAAATATTTTTTGTTGAGAAGTCAGTTTGGCTATTATTGTTGGATATTACTATATATCGATCACTAGAAGTATAGTTTTATATGTTATGTAATCACATTAAAAAGCAGGTTAGTTATTTGATTGTTCTGTGTACAACAGAGTAGAAAAGCAAGCAACTAATGGCTGCTAATGTGTAGATATATTTGTCTGATTGATTTTCATTATCTTCAGGAGTACCAACTTTGGAATCTTCAATCCATGCACTGCTGCATAATCCTATAATCTCACTAATCAACTTTTGTTTTAGGTCCATGACAAGTCTCAGATTGCCCTGAATCCCAATGCTAATCCCTACTAGAGAGACGACATTTTGTCTAAATAGTTCGTAAGGAAACTATCTAAATTTAATGATTATGATGTAATGGTAATCTTGCAGTTCTGATCATATAGTGTTGGTTTGGTAGGTCAAAGATTATTGCTTCCAGCCTCACTATAGCCGAAGCTTTTATTGCGACTTAATAAATCACTTACCGTATTTTATATTACATGTTCTTCAATCCACGTGATCAGTCATTCGGGCTAACCTCACATGAGCTATTCGGAAGTAAATTGTCTTCATATATTAATAGTAGTTTAGGAACCTTGTCTTCCATAGTGTCCGTGAAAATTCATGCAATAGTAGATCTTCATTGTCTGAACTCAGTTTCTTGGATCAAGTTTTACATGAGCCAAGCTGTGAGCCATACAGTTAGTGTGGAGGGGCTGAGGGCACTACCCAATTATTTAGGCTAGAGTAGGAGGAGCGGCATTTAAAGCCGGAACCTACTGTCTGAAATTGGACTGCTCAAACCAACAAGCCATATATATATTGCTTTCACATTAAGATAAATAGCACTAATTACTCTTACGTTACTTACCTAATCACTTTTCTGTCGATTTGCTCAGGCTTCAAATTTCGGAGTGTTTTATCCAGCTTATCTAACTAAACGTGACTGAAATTTTTGTATATAAAATTTAGTTGGCAACTCAATACTTAAAATCTATGTATAGTACGTAAGCTCAATTCTCTCTGTATGGCGAAAAAGTCAAGTTATGCCAAAATAAAATTTGTTGTAGTCAATATGTAATGGTGTTAAATTTAATTAGACTGTCATGTTTTCTGGTTGAAGTTTATAAATCGCTTAAGGGGATTATGGTAGTGAACACTTGACCTTATGGAATCCAATGGAACTCCTAAAGCTAATCGTTTATATTAACTAAGTAGTGGTGAAATATAAAGTAACTCAGCAAATGGGTGAAGTTTCACTCACTAAACTATAAGCTGGACCTATAGAGAAGATGCTTGAGGTAGTTATCAGTGTAGCTCCACCAGAAGACAGGAAAAGCTTGTTCAACATCTTCTGAAGACATCATCTGCGATATGATGTGACATTTTGTTAACAAGTGAGTGTACCAATTAGTAGTAGTTGACTCTCTCCAAGTGTCAGACTTGGTTATTGAAGATGGGTGATATGAAGGGACTACATATTTTCAACTTTAGACATTGAAGCACTGGCAATTTTAGGTAAAACCACAATCAACATAGCTAAACTTAGGAATAGGGCAATATATAAGCATGTAAATTTATTAACTACTGTCTGACGTGAGCTAATTATACGTTGTGAATCACCGACACCACCTTTATTTAAATTAAGACTACGTCGAACAAATACCAGCAATGATTGCAGTAAGATAAGTTGGTAGTAATACGATGTCACCCCTGTGTTACTAATAAGTTCGTAAGATATCGTAAGTCTCTTGTCGGACATCTTTGAGATATCAGGAGTTAATGGTTGGAGACTTTTAATGACATGTTCCGAGTCGACCATAATATCAGATTTGCTTAATGCTTGACATCTTTAGTTTTTGTTCTATTATCCTACTCTAGCATATGCAAGTATTTATACTTGTTCGTAGACAAGTACTTAAAGTTCAAAAGATTATTTCGCTGTAAACTTTCTCATTCAATGAACCCCTCATGAGTTTTTTTCAACCCTCATATAGTCCTCATACCTTCTGATTTGTTTTTTATTGCTCACTTTTTCAAACCTTTAAATTATGTTTTGTGGTAATAAATATTTCAGTAAACTAATTGTATCTTTTATTTTCGTTTTAGTGCAGTATCATCTATACATGCAACTATTGTTAGTGTTCTATGTGTAACAGCGCTAGTTACTAATCATGACCTGTGGAACCATCCTATTACGTAAGTAGTTTCTTATTTGTTTGAGATACAACTTATGCATGGTGAAATGCTTGACACAATGATAATAATATAAAAGTCGTAAAAGGAAAAAAGAAATAAAAGCAATTACAGAGTGACTAGATGAACTTGAATGTTCCTATAAATTTCATTCAATAAAACTTTCGTCATTTTTTATATTTTCTTTCATAATTAAACGTACTAATTATTTTATAAAATTATTGATGGGTTTGCGTCGGTGGCACAGCGGTATAATCCTCGCAAACCACTCCTCAGCTGGTCTGGGGTTCGGTCCCTGGTCACCGACGCACTCCTTTACTTCGCTAAGCTAGTATTAAGACTGATAAAGACGGGAAGGTTGGCCATAAAGCTAACAAACCCCATCCAGTAGAAATAAGCACCACTGCTACTGAAACTTCAAGCCTCTAGCTTTAACCCCTGTGTTCCACTGGGAACGTAAAGGAATAAAATAAAAGATAATTGATGGATTTGACTGAGTTTGATTGATTTTAACCCTTGGGGAATTGATTTGCCACCCGAGATAGGTCACGTTGATTTAAAGTACGCAGTCAATGTAGTTTTTATTTCAGATGAAGATGCTAACGAAATGCATAGTCTTATGAACACTCTGAGCGTGTGTTTACCTTACTACTTTATATCAGATTTAGACTGCTAACTCTGATATTCACCCAATCCTAACTAGAGAATATGGAGTGAAATAGTTGAATGTGTTGACCTGACCACTTGATGTATTTGCGAGGTTCTATGATGCTGAGTTAACAACTTGGTTACAAGCAACTAGTTCGGTAAGCGCAAGCATGATATTCAGTTGCACATCAAAAACCTTGTGTATCACACAGTAGTTCACTATGGCTGTCTTTAAAACTGTCTTATGGAAAGCATTTTTATAGCATTACCTTATGTATTGGGACAGCAGAACAATGAATATTGACTATAGTTTCATTTTTTGAATGCTAACTGGTACATACTAACCCCTGTAGTTCATTGTTTAGATGGTTTGTTTAGAATATTGATGGGCTGTTACTGTCCATTATGTTTTCATAAGTGATTATTGTCAAAACTTTTTATGCATCATCAGTTAACAATTAAAGTGTATGTAAGTTAGTTATATATTGCATTGGTATATTAATCAAAATAGGTGTGAAGTAGTTAGCCCGTCATGGGTGTATAATTTGGGTGTATATTACTCATGTGAAATGCATAACTATTGGTAAGCCATAATTAACAAGAAAGAATAGTACCAAGGTGATCAAATTTAATTGAAATGACTTTACTATTTATGATATAAGCGAAATGGTTGAATATGTGAACCATTCCACTTATTTGGGAAGGTGCATTAGTCTTGATGTACTGATTCCTCATTCTGTCTGTCTGGATTCAACATAGAACTTGGCACCGAAGTGCAGCAGTTCGAGTTGCCACGTTCCAAATAGCACACAGAGGTAGACAAGAAGATGAGTGAAGAGAATCAATAGAGTTTGACAAGTATAAGAGTGAAACAGAATGGGTAATGGTAGAAAGGAATATGAAAGATTACAGAGACTGAATACATCTGCGCCATTGACAACGATTTTGAGCCATGTCACCTATTGTCTCCAGCCATTGATTCCTAGAGTCCCGAGGGCCCCAACCCGGGAGTCTGCATCTCCCTACCTGACTCAGTTTAACTGTCAAGGATTTCATGGATTGATGAGGCCATGTTTTTGTTTGGCCACCACTGGCTCTTTTCCAACCTGAACCTATATCAGCTAGCAATGCCCGTCGGGGGAGGCGGTGGTTAGGCATGCGCAGCACGTGACCTAGCCATCTTAGTCTATGTAACTTTATAGCCTCGTCGATTGATTTTCCCTCTTTGCCCAACACTCTACGCCTAACGTCAACATTACTTACCTTGTGAAACCACCTAACGTGAGACAGAGATCGCAGACATCTATGATCGAAAGCAGTCAACCTTTTCATGTCTTCAACGCGTATTGGCCATGTTTCAGAGCCATAGAGAAGGACGGAGCGAACTGCTGAGCAGTACACACGTCCCTTGGTTGATAACCGGATGTCACGCCTACGCCAGAGATGGTGTAAGTCAGCGAAAGCAGCTCGAGCTTTTCGGATCCGTGCTGAGATTTCATCGCCAATCAGTCCGTTGGTGCTAATACAACTTCCCAAATAGGTGAAGTGGTCAACATGTTCTATCACTTCACTCCCTATCACTAAGTTAGGGTTGACGTGTCCAGTCCTGTAGCAGCATCTTACATTTTGCAGGGGCGAATCGCATGCCAAACGAAGATTGCTGCTCAAGGTGTTCAGAAGACTCTGCATTTTGTCAGCATCCTCCCCTAACAGGACTATGTCATCTGCATATTCTAAGTCCATAGATTATTCCCTGGTAACAAGTCGATTCCTAAGTCGTTACGTTCAGTTAAGGATACTTCCATCAGCATATCTATGATGAAGTTAAACAGAAATGGGGAAAGTGGACATCCCTGTCGGACACCACTGGTTGTTACCAATTCAGATGACAATTCCCCATAAGCCCTTACACGACTACGTGAGTTTGAATAGAGTGCCTTGATTAGTGCAATGTACTTTCTTGGCACTCCCTTCACAGTCAGACATTGCCATAGTACCTTTCGATCCACGGAGTCGAAGGCCGCCTTCAAGTCAAGAAATATGACAATTGTTGGACGCCGAAAAGTGTGTCTATGTTCTAGAATCTGTCGAAGAGTGAAGATATGATCTATGCACCCTCTACCTGGTCTAAAGCCTGCTTGATTTTCCCTTGTCTGTTCCTCCCGAGTTCTGCTTAGTCTATGCATGATTACTGAGCCTAGGATTTTAGAGACTATGTTCGTTAGGCTGATCCCCCTATGATTATCACACGAGGACTTGTTTCCCTTCTTGAATATCGGTATAATAAGTGACTTACCCCAGTCTGATGGAACTGTCTCTGATTCCCAGACTTTGCCTAGTACCTCAGTTAATCTACAAACTAGTATGTCACCCCCATATTTAAACACCTCCGGAATAATTCCGTCGGGTCCTGCCGCTTTGCCTCGTTTCAAATTACTGATAGCTTTTGTGACCTCACTTACAGACGGCGGACCAGTGTCTATATCCCATTCGGGTGTGTGGTGGATGTCGGGGAGGTTCAGTGTGGCTGTAGGCAAGTTAAATTGTCCCTCAAAGTGTTCTTTCCAGCGTTCAAGGCGTCTATCCTGAGAGCTAATTAAGGAGCCATTTTTCTCAGAAATAGTCTCACTTATGATTTGCCTTCTCCCCCCGTTTCCCTGATGAGTCTAAAGAGTTGCCTAGTGTTGCCTATCGCCGAAGCTTTTTCCATCTCTTTCGCCTTTGTCACCCACCACTGTTCACGGTCCTTGCGGAGACTTTTCGTAAGTTTCCTTTTGTGCAGCTTTCGCTCCTCATTGAATTCGGAGCTCGCCGGAATAAGTCTTCTAGCATCTATCAGTTCGGATGAGGCAGTCGAAATCCAGTGGTTTTTACTCACCTTTGGATTTACCTTATTCACAGCTTTTACAGCTGTATCTATGGCTGACTGAATATTCTTCCAGGCTTCTTCAGGGTGAGCACAGCTGTCGAACTCAGATATGCGTTTAGCTAGTTCTTCCTCAAATAGGGATTTAGTTTCCTGATCGAGCTGGGGACGTGATGGTTTTACCGCCAGCTGTTTCCTACGTCCGTTCAGTCGTAAGCACACACGAGCCCGGACCAGTGCGTGATCGGTATCTACACACGTGTTCCAGAAGGAGCGACAATCTCCTACCGACCCACGCCAACGATAGCTTATTGCTATGTGGTCTATTTGTGTCCAGCGTTGGTTTGATGATGGGGGTCGCCAGGTTAAACAGTGTCTCTCCTTGTGTTTAAAGTTAGTGCTTACAAGAAACAAATGATTATCTGAACAGAACTGTAGGAGACGGTCACCGTTGTCGGTTCGCTGGCACGGAACTCCATAGGTGCCACCGACATCCTTCTCAGATTGACACAATTTCCCTACTTGAGCATTAAAGTCACCAGCTAGAACGACTATATCTGAGCGTTTAGCCTTTCTCACCAAACTAGACAGCTTTTGGTAGAACTCATCCTTCGTTTCATCCGAACTGCAGTCAGTGGGGGCGTAGGCGGAGATTACGAAAAGGCATCGGCGAGTAGTGCAGTCCTTTCTCCTTCTTACTGATCCGTTCAGACGGACAGCACACATTCGGCTATCTACCGGGATCCAGTCAAGCAATGTCTTTTCTGCCCTAGTACTCAAGCTATCCCTACGCCAGCTAATCCTCGTGAACTAGCTGTGGCATCTCCTGACACCCTCAAGGTGAATTTTGAAGATTCATCCTGTTGGCCAGGTGGGGTTAGGTGAATAACCACACTTGGGTCTTGTATGCGTGTTTCTGAAACACAACATACATCAATGGCTCGGATGCCAGGGTCTTAGCTAGTGATGCTTGTTGTCCTATTTGGCAAAGTGTCCTAACATTAAATGCTCCTATATGAAATTGGTGGCGTGGCTTTAGGAGACTATCGGTGGTTTTTTGGCTTTCGTCGTTTTTAGTGGACACAGAGTGAAGAGGGAGTGAGGAGCCATCAAGTAGAGGAGTTGCATCAGTGGGAGGAAGGCAAGGTAATAGAGATGAAGATGAAGACAAAGATAAGTGAGGATTAGAGAGGTTTTGTGTGCATTTCGGATTGTGAGGGCGTTTGTTACTTCCCGGCTGCCCACACCGTGGAAGTTGGTTGCGTGACCGCAGAGCCCAGGGGACAACTGCTTGAGGCCGGTCACACGCGGCCTGTTTTTGTTTGTTCTTTTTTGTTTGGTGTGCCTCAGTAGCATACTTATCACTCCTGCCCTGTGACACGGCAGCAGGAAGCGCGGTCGTTGTTAATCCGGGCCACGGCCGATCCGGCATGAAATTTTGTGAATTTGTTTGAATCATGGTATTGGATGGGTAGCTGCTTTTTGTTTAACCGCTATCCAAACAACCTGCCTGGCATGGTAGAACCTCAAGAGACATAAGTCTCAGCTTGATTAGGTCATTACGGGGTTCAAGCCCAACCACCACGTCAAGGTATCAGCTTTCGGTCGGGTGATTCCTGATTAATTCTCAACATGGCCCCCGTTTAGCATCTACCGACTCGCACCATTTTTTGGCGTAGATATAGTGTCTGGCTGTCAACCAAACGACGTGTGTACTGTAAAGCAGTTTGTTGTTTTTCGTTTTAATAAGTATAACACAAACGCTAATATTAAGTTTAGGCGTCGAATACTACGTTAGGAGAAGTGGTTCGATGTGGTTGTAAAGTTACATCGATTAAGATATCTAGGACACGTGTCATTCGTGTCAAGCCATCGTCCTTCTCGTCAAAGAATGTTAGAGGTGGTCAAATCAAAGCTTGACATCATCTCATGAAGCCATGTAGGGAGGTGTAGGCTGTCTGTCTAGAGACTATTATTGGCGATATAACTCAAAATCATTGTCGATACATGTCAGATACATTCACTCTCCCTGATCCATTAATTCTTTATCACTCACCATGAATTTAGTCTTTCTGCCGTACATTTCCATTCCTAACGATTGCTTTAACATTTCCTGTCTACTTTTGTGTTCTTTATGAAGTGTGTCAATTTGAACCGGTGCACTTTTGTTCAAAGTACTACATTGAAAAGTCAGTTCGGCTGAAATAATTGTCTACAAAGAGTTTCCTGTTACACAAGGGCCACTAAAGATTAGACCACATCCAATAAGTTTCATTTTTTCGAACCTTCCGGGAAATAAATCTTAACGTATTCTACACATACCGTAAATAAGTTAATAAAATAACTAGCATTGTTACACTTCTGCTTCAGTTATTTATGCATTAAAAAAATAATTTAGCTTACAATCCATTCTTATTACGCTTTTCTCTAAAGGTGTGTATCTCATCCTGGTCTTATTGCGTTATCCATTTCTATCGGTTACTTTCTATGTGGTAAGTTGAATTATAATTTTTTTCTAAAAGACTGATATTTTATTCCCTTCGGTTCCTAGTGGAACATAGGGCTTCATGCTGTCCTCTTCAGTTGGATACACGATTGACCATAATCTCTCATCTCCTCCAACTCACACGATCTCCTCCATGTCACCCTCGCACAGCCGACCCATTTCAGCAATGGCCTGCATTGTGCGTGATTTCATTCGATGGCCTCTTCAACGTATGCCCGATCATTCCATCTCCATTTTCTCCTACATATTTGTTGAGTGATCGACTCTTAGCTGGGTTTGGTGTCAGCCATAGTCTAAGTTTGAGTGATCAGTCCATTATTTTATTTGTTTCTTCGTCTCGGTGATCGGGTTTCCTTGAACAAATTTTATCGGTTTCCTCATCTGTGTAGATTTCTTCCTGGATAGACACTTGGTTATCTGATATGGTGTCCTGATATCTCTTTTACCTGCGGCTTGCCTGTTCTGTTTCAGTTGCCAGTGTGTCGTGGAATTGTCTTCCCTAGCACTCTTCTTTACTGCTTTACTCATTGCAGTGTACATTGAAATCAGCTTGACCTTCAGTTGTCCATCTTTGCATTGAGTCATTGCTTTCACCAACCTCCTCTTCTTGATGAGCTTCCAGGTAGATGTCCATTGACAGCCATTCCTTGTCTTATCTCTTCCTTCTTCCTAGAACAGTTGTACACGTTTTCTTAAATATCGCTTTCAGAGAGTTCCAGTTTTCTTCCACGCAGGTTTCCTTGGTGATAACACGTAGTGTCTCAGACTTTGTTCTGATCTGATCTGTATTGAAGGCAGCCCTTCTAGTTTTGTCTTTAGGTTTCTGAATGTTGACCCCGAACTGTGGCCTGTTCCCAGTTATTCTGAAATGCGTAAGCTTCACCTTGAAGGTTCCTTGAACTAGGTGGCGGCCTGAACCCACATCTGCTTCCCTTCTCGACTTTGTATCCAGCAGGCTGGCTGCGTCTCCGCTTCCTTGGGCAACATTGAGATGAAGTCTGTCTGGTTCGTGGTGTGTGTCTGTCAGGCGAAATCCATGTTGCTTTGTGTATATCCTTGTGCTTGTAAACATCGCCTCCAATCACCGAATTCTTCGAAGATTTTCCCATTGTCACTCATTTCGCCGACCGAGAGCCTCTCGACCCATGGTGGGTTCTCTTTATGCATAATATGTTCCCAATTCGGTTGGCATTCATATCTCCCATGAGGATTTCGATGTCACCATTTGCGATGTCGTCCATTACTGTATGTAGTTGTCTATAAAAGCCTTCCTACTCTTGTTCTGTGTTGTTTGTAGCACTGTGTGTAGCATTAGATAATTGTGACCTTCCTTCCTTCCTTCATTCTGAGTTGAATCTTGCTGTTACGATCCTGGATGAAATTGGTTTCCACTACATTAGGACTTTGGCTGCACTGCTACTGGTAACGTCATTGTAGGCACTTACTGCCTCAGTATGCTCGTGGTTGTCGTCTGGGTGACCGGACCTGATTGGATTACTGACTCTCCAGTTGACAGTTTTGACAATCTGCATCCATCCCATCTGCTCTCGCAGATACCCAGCACTTCTATGCCATATCTTCATATTTCTTTGGCTACCTGGGCAGTTTTCCCAGTCTCGTACATTGTACGAACATTCCACGTCCCCATTCTTGTTCTTGCTTTCATCTAGGAAAGACACTTCAGCTGGCTAACTGGCTTCCCGAAGACTGACTTTCACCAGCCCTCTGTGTCATTTCGTCTCCTTGATTCCAGTGAAGAATAAGGTCGTTCTTTGAATGTTCTGTTTTTTTTTCTGCGTGGAGGTTTCTGTAACATTTTGATTAGTTTTGTTGTGTAGCGTCGCTAGCCCCACATCCAATCCAAACCTCTTTACCCGGTCTTGGGACCAGCTAGAAAGCAAGCAAGCTAGTTAACTAGGCGAGTATTATAATACAAACTGCAATACCCACCTCGTTGTAGTTCACGCTATGCGGAAATCTGTCACACAGTCAGGTAAAATAATGTCATTTAATCAGATTAGAGTATATGCCTTACACATTCAATTTGTGAAGATGATTCATTTCAAAAATATACCCTTATTTCCAGAATCTAGGTTATCATGCCTTTTTTTTACCTGTTTTAAGTTTCCCGTCTTGGTTGACTGGGCTTTACCATTGGCACGCGCACACATACAGACATTGCACATAACAGACGTGGCTAAAAGTTTAGCTAATAAACCTTCACTTGATATTTAACTATTGAAAGAAGGATTTTTTTGCATAGTTTTCCTTTGACTGATTTTTTGTTTTATTTTTGCATTCTGAATTTCTTTGCCTACTTTTCTCTCTCTATCTATCATAGATGCTGTTTCTATGCCATTCTACTGGTGGAACAGGCAATTGATTATATTTCTTTCACATCATTTGGCCGCATCATTTGCATTTTATCATGTTATTGTACGTCATAGTTATATTGTCATTATTTATTTTTTTTATTAATATTTTATTCTTATACAGCCTGGCATCATGATATCTATTAACTGGATGTGGTTAACAGTTTATTCTATAGTCTGGTAGTCTACTATTTATTCATAAGTAAAAAAACAGTTTTTGTTCAGCGAAGAAATTTCTTTTCAACGACTTCATTTTCAAGCGGCACAGTCGTATTTATATTACAGAAAAAGGTTATTAAGTGGTACTAAATAATTGCTCAGTCAATATAAGTATATATATGATGAGAATAACGATAATTAAAATGTTATAAAGGGTAGAGTTGAAGTGAATAAATTACAAAATTATTAAAGATTGTTTTATATGTCAATTGATATCAGAAATGTTTTAAAAATGTCAAGTGTTGTCTAAAAATTTTAAAAATTAGGAGTATGATTACGATAAGAATGAAAATGTGAAGTGAAGTCGAAAGAATTCAAGTGCTAAAATAAAATAAAAACTAGAAAGAACATTACAATGACCAAGGTAAAGAAAGGGGTTTGACAAAACGTTTTTGAACACATAATTTAGGTTTCTGTGCATAAGTGAAAGAAGACGTAAACTTTTTGATTGATTCGATTTTGCCATGTAGATAACTTTGAAAGATGAATCACGTGGGGCTAAATGACCAGACTCTAACAGGTGATCACAAATAAACGACTTTGCAGTTCTACGTTCGCCTTTCATTAACCTTATCAATACTAGCCACTCAATCTCAATACAGTCATCCGGCAGAGTGAATACCAATCAATCTTAGCCAGTACACATTCACCCCCCCCTTCGATTATCTGCAGCTCAAATCATGCAGAAATAGTAAGCAGAACTCTGCTTACAATAAAGAATTCCTCATTTACTTCTGCTATCATCTTAATGACTGTGTTGATTTTAATCAGTATTTAGTCTTGTCTAACTTTTCCATTCCTTCGCATTCTTACGTGATATCACATTCCTTTCGGTTCTATATACACTATGATTTCAACTCAATTATGAGGGAACTTATCTCGTTACGTAACTGTATCATTTTTATCTAGATTCTTTTGCCCACTGATCACTATAGCATTTATGCTTATGACGGTTCACCTCTTTTGTGCAATGTTGTATATATAAGTGTCATTATGTGGTTAAAGAAAATGAAATCATCGACAGGAGCCTTTCTGCTAAATTACTTAGTTCGTTTTTTTTCAGAAATACTGGAATGGGTATTATTCATGCATTTTGTATTTCTCACATTGACATTCGAATAGATACCGTTTTAGTCAAATGGTTTATTTTGTTATTTTTCTGTTTATCTGCCCATCTATCTATATATCTGTAGAAACTCTATTAACCTCACTAATTTGATTGATTCTAAGTTTAATGACAGATTGATATCCAGCTACAAGACGAAGCTGTCTTGAGTGCTGGTGAGAAGTCGTGACCAGTGTGATCCAACAGGTTGAGTGCGAGGTACATTACTCGCCAATGACCTTATCCAACAGCTGTACGACAACGGAACATGTCAGTCAAGTGATCCACAACGGAAAACTCTGCGAGGCGTTTGGAATAAACACAGGAGTCAGACAAGGGTGCTTATTATTACCAGTGATATTGCTAATTGTGGAAGACTAGATGATTATGCGTCAGACAGTGAGTGGGAAACGAGAAGACAGGAATATCCTGGACCGATACGAAGAACCTAGAAGGCCTGGATTTCGCGCGTGGATGATTTATGTTTGATGTCACTGTCACAAAATCGAAGACTTACAATCGAAAACCGACCGACTAACTGGTCGAAAAAGCAGCCGGCGAAGACAGGACTCCAGGTAAACATAGACAAGATGGAGGTTATGAAAATAACCAACCAACAACAGCAACATCCAGCGCCAATCGCCATCAACGGGAGGGATTTGAAAGAGGTTACTTCATTCACTTACTAATCTAGGGAGCATTGTCTCAACTACAGGCAGTAGGAACGGACGAGGATGTCAAATCGAGCGAGGATCGGGAAGGAAGGTGAGGAACACATTCATCAACCTGAAATCAATCTGGAAATCTTCGTCACTCACCCAGCATCAACAACAAAATTCAGTCGGATTTTCAATACAAACAATGTCAAGTCAGTCAGTCAGTTCTTCTATACCGATCAGAAAGTTGGTGGGCGGGTCACAAAGAATATTTCCAACAGCCTGTTGCAGACCTTTATCAACCAGTAACTGTCTTCGCTGGCTCTATACTGAAGATCAGATGGCCGGGTCGGAAAGAATCACCAACAAGAAACTATGGGCACTAACAAACAAAACAAGAACCAATCGCCAACCAACAAATATGCAGGAGAAATTGGAGATTGATGGAGATGGACACTCGCTGAGGAGACCGCTGGGTGACATCGCGCGTCAAGCCCTCGAGTGGAACCCGAAAGGGAAGCGGCGTGTGGGACGTCAGTGCAAGGGTGACATGGAGGAGATCGTGTGAAGAGGAGTTGAAACAGTATGGACTAACATGGATGCAGGTGAAAAGATCAGCAGGAGATAGAAGCAAGTGGAGACGTGCAGTTGAAGCAGTTGTGCGTCGGTGGCACAGTGGTTAGGACTCTCGCCGACCATGCACATGGTCCGGGGTTCGAGCCCACACCGGCGCACACCTGATATCTATGGTCGGCCTGCAAAATTTGGGCTACCGATATCCATGCTGAAAATTCCATACTTGTACCAAAAATACAGTGTGGAATCAAGCTGTAAATCAAAAATAAAGAAATAAAAAAAAATATTCCACTAGGAACCCAAGGGAACAAGAAAAAAACCGATGGCTTCAAGGTAGAGCTAAAAATCTCGAATTGTTACAAAAGTTACAATCCATAGGTCATTGGATTCCATTCCACCGACTGAGTAGTAAACAAACTCTCGTCGTAATCTGATGGTCCCGGTTTCATTCTCAGGTGAAGTCATTGATTGGCACATACTGCTGAAGAGTCCCAGGCCAGGACTAAGCAACTGTCCAGTAACTCTTGGTTTTCAGTGCTTCTCTAACTGAATATCAATCCGTGATAAAGCTTTGAAATCAATCAAATCTCTACAAACTAACACTTGAAAAGAATGATTTCTGGACATGTACAAGGTTCCTTCTTAAAAACATTCAATATCTTCATTATAGTCGAGATATAAAAAAAATCGTTAAGGTCAAAGTCGCCTATAAGGCGTATTTAATACACACACGTACACCTTACGCGTGATTTCAAGTCTTAAATCAGAATTCATTGTGAAAAAAGGTAGTCGTAACGTAAAATTCTACACTAAGTGGTAAAAATATCTATTTATTTATTTTTCTTGAAATTTCAGCAATATCGAACTTGTGTATTCTTCGGAGTGTATCGGTTAACAACTGAGTTGTCTACACCATTTGTCAATCAAAGGTATCAGTTTTATTTCTAGTGTATATTTATTTCATAATTGTATTTGTATAATTTATTCTAATGTCATAATAGGTGAACAGTTAGTTGTTCCTTTCCCCAAATATTTTTAAAATGTAGAAGAGAATAAGCCGGAATCGCTTCACTACAAAAATTATTCTAGCAATTATCTATCTGTAAACATCCGGTTCCGGGATATAAGCCACACTTATTATTATTTGACGGCTGATGATGCTATGTAGTTACCTAGGTTGAAGTAGATGGGACTACATTTAAATCCAGGACCCACTGAATGGCAGTCGTCGACTGCTGAAACTAGTTAAATTGACCTTAAGTCTTGCCAACTTACAGTATCCAAATGATATTGTCCTCCTAGGTGCAAAATACCGACAAAATGTGGAGTCTTTTGAACACCTTGTGTAGAAATCTTTGGATATTTGGCATGTAATTCGCTCCTCTATTTTTTGTATTCCTTAACGTTCCCAGTGGAACATAGGGCTTCAAGTTAGAGGCCTGAAGTTTCGGCAGCAATAGTGTTTATTTTTACGGGATGGGGTTGTTGGCCTCATGCCCAACCTTACCTCTTTACCAATCTTATTACCAATCTTATTACCTCTTAGTGAGGTAAAGGAGTGCGTCGGTGACCAGGGACCGAACCCCGGACCAGTTGAGGTGTGGTTTATGAGAATTCCACCGCTGTCCCACCGACACCCTATTGGCTCCTGTAAAATGAAAAATGATGCTGCAGGACTGGTCTTCACCAACTCCAAGTTTAAAGATTCGGAGTGAAGTTGTAGAGTGTCTTTGTCACTTCACCCCAGCCCCAATGGACGCAATCTCAGCAAGTGTGGAATTTGCCAGTTTGCATCATCACTGGCGTAAACGTGATGTATTTAGCTGTCACTCAAAGGAACTGTATACTGCACGGCACAGTCCCCTCCGTTTTTGTTTATGGTTGTGAGACATAGTCATTGAAAGTGGAGGATGTAAGAAGGCGAACTTTTTTTTGACTACAGATGTTTTCTTTCTATTTTCTATGTTAAGTGGTACAATGTTGTTGGACGTAAATTGCTAGGTAAGGAAAGGAGGTCGATCGATGAGTTTGTGAAACTACACCGATTTAAATGGTTAGGGTACCTGTCACTTATGCCAAAACATCATCTCCCAAGTTGATTAATCCTAGCTGAGGTGAGTTCAAGTTAAAAAAGAGTTAGGGATGGTCAAATGAGAACCTGGTGTCAGTGCATGGGGTGTTAACAGTTAGTTTAAGCCAGCTACCTGAGGTGGTGTAAACTGTGTATCTGAAGTCCTTGTGATCCTAAGAACCAATGAAGTCAATTTTTAGATGGTGACTAGCAGTGGAATCCAGGACATAGCACATCTCATCCTATTTGGGACTCGTCAGCTAGTGGATGTACCTACATTCCCCCGTGAAGTGATAGGGTTCACACCGAGGCGCGAATCCAGCGCCCATAGTTTCAAGCGTTAAAGCGTTATCCAATATACCACTTGGACCACGAGAATCACCTCTTGTGCAATGGGTCTTATTAATTATTGAATTCAATTTAGATTTTCCCATTGACTGATTGGATCGAAGTGCTCGGTCTCAGGTAGACCTATAGGTTGCTTGTTTAGAGGACGCGACGATGCCTGGCCATGTAACTTAAAGTCGATTGGTGGGTGGTTACCAGTCCTATTTGGGACTAGTCTGGTACATGCAGATGACGAAATGCGCATCCTGGATTCCACTGCTAGTCATCGTCCACTGATAATTGACTTCAGGTTACCTGACCAGACATCATCACAGCATCTGCACAAGCAACCGGCATTTCAACCTGAGACCGAGAACTTCGGTCCAATCAATCGATTATTATATATAATAATAATAATTATGTATAATTGTTATTTCCTTTAATTCCTAAAGGAACAGAGGGATTCAGCCGCACATCTCTGTTGCGTTTGGTTTTCTGCCAACTTTCTCCCCTGTCTCCACATTTGCCCACATGCTATCATCTCCTACACACTTGACTTCCTCCATGTCAGGTTCCCCTCGAGTGATGGCCTGGCGTATGGTGTCACTTAATGGTTTCCTCAGAGTATGGCCAATCCACCTTCAATTCTTCCTGCATATTTGTTGAACAACCGATTCCTGCTGGGTTGGTTCATTCACTGCCAAAGATCCCTGTTGTTGATCTTTTTTGGCCAGCCATCTGATCTTGAGTAGTATTGAGAAAGACAACTGTTGATGAAGGTCTGTATTTTGTTCGAAATGCCTTTCGTCACACTCCAAGTCTTTGATCCGTACGTATAATAATTAAGACTGAATTCACATTACTTACATCTTACTTTTCATGCTGAATGCTGTTGACCTCCACACAGACTTGAGAGAAATGAAAGCTGGCCTTGCTTTCCCGATCCTCGCTTCTTTGATATCCTCATCACTTCCATCCGCCTGTAGTTGAAACAATACTTCCAAAGTAGGTAAAGGAGGTTGCTTCTTCCAGATTTCTGCCATTTATGCTGGCTGATTGTTGTCTGTTGTTGTTGCTGTGGCTGTTGGTGTTGGCGAGTAATCTTCATCACCTCCGGGAAAATCTAAATCTCAATGGGAAAACCTGAATCGAATTAAATCTAGGAACCGATGTTTGGAGACAGCGATATGGCTTGAAATCATTCTCAGATGCATTCACTGTTTGTAATCTCCCAGGTCCATTCAGTCATCGTGTTTCTCCGTGTTACTGTTCCTTCTCCCATATGTTTCTCCTCATTGTAGTTCTTTTGGATTTTATTTTTCCCCTTTCCTCTACCAATGTGTGCTATGTAAGATGTGACTGGGTGAACTTTTATACGTCTGTACAAAGTTATATATTTTAAAAGCTAGTTGGTCAGTCAGAGTAGTTGAAAAAAATTGAACCATTCACTGCATTAATATTTATTCGAAAGGATCATGAGCCTGAAAAAGAAACCAATTACTTCACCAAAGTATACAGTTTAAAGAGTATTACATAATAACACAAGCAACATAGATTAATAGATTTAATATAGTATGAGAAAAGGAGATTGTTTATCAGGTCTCACTTGAATAATGCAATGAATGTTTTCACGTTACCTTTTGGAGATAATCTTGATGTAAAAATGCAGATTGCAGTGGGATTCGAAACAGTGCTGTCTAGTTTTTAGGAGGTTTTTTTTATTTCACTCCAGTCACTTAGGCTTTTATTTCAGTTGTGTAGGCATCGCTTTCATTCCGTCTTGTCAGGCCTTCAAACTAGGATTGTATTGAGTCGTTTAACCAGATAATTATTTGTTTTCAGGACTGAAACTTCCTATTTAGGTTCACATATCGCCTCCTAGTACGATGTCTTAGAATTATCATGAAGTTATTTTTTGGTTGGGGTAACTAGTAGTGGAACCTAGGACGTGCTTTACGTTCTATTTCGAACTTTTCAGTCAGATGGCGTTCCCTCTTAGACTCTGTCAACAACGCAAACTGATCATTTCGGTCCAATGTAATCTAATCAAAGGGAAATGAGAAATTCACCTGAAAACGACTAGCAACCGACACTCGTTGCACTAGAAGTGGCTATCGTTGCCTAGCGCATAATGCTTTAACGTTTGAAACGATGAGTTTGGGGTTCAAATCTCTCTGTAGGTAACACCATGACTCACTGGGAATACAGGCACATCCAGATGACGTGTGTGAATTGGGATGAAATGTGCAATAGGGGTTCCACTGTCAGTTATCACGAACTAAAATAACCGAGCAATTCGTTTGTAGGCATTTTTTGTCAGAATTATAATACCGTCTTATGGTTTTTTTGAAGTTTATTGTAACCACAGTTTCGCGAAAGTATAACACCTAGTCTTTGATAGACTTCTCTTAGTAACCTTCAGAATGGAGAGACCTTTTTGATGTTTATGCTTACATTATATCGATTCCAGCATAAATTAAAATGCCTGGAATATTCTTTTCGTAAAACAAGCTGTTACTACATTCAATAATGTATAGATTATTGTTATCACATTAGAATTATTATAATTATTTATATCATAAAATGTTATTACATATATTTACTTAATAGGTGGTTTTATCGTACAATTGGCTACAAACCTGATCGTCGACGTGTTGCATGCGTCACACTAATATTTGCAGTATTCTTTATTCTAACCCGAAATTTAATGATCCTACCATTTTGGTATATATCATTTATATCCTATGGAAGTGAAGCCTATAAAATATGCATTCAATCCTTTCCAATGATGACAACAATCTTTGTTACAACATGTGGCCTACTGGATTGTTTAAATATTCACTGGGCATTTCGAACATGTCGTATCGGTTCAAAGGCTATAAAAACTCTGTCCACTGCTGATTGGCAAAGTGATATTCGTAAAGCTCAAGCACGTATACACAAACGTTTACGTAATCTGCATAGACGTGTTGTTGTAACAAAAGATGAAAAGGTGAATAATATTATCACAATGAAATCCTCACTGACAGATAATCATTTCAGTGAAACTTCATTGAACAGTGCTACACTGAGTAGTAGTGGATTGTCATCATCGAGTTATTCAACTGATAGTGAACATGAATCTGTAGGCTCAGATGTTGGGGAATTTCAAGTACCTATTGTAAATGATGGCCAAGAGGCGGAGGAGGAGGTGGAGGGGGATGTGCTAAAATCAACGAATGAAAATACATCTTCTCATTGTACACATGATGATAATAATAATGACACTGAGTTAATACATCGTGTTGATAAGCAAGAGGTTGATTGATTGATTGGTTCTGCATGTATCCATTGAATGATTCAATTATTTGTACACTGGATTTACTCATTATTTTAAATTATGTCTTGTGTTTGACTTTTGCATAATAATAACAATAATATCAATAATGATAATGGCAATAAAACGCAATGAAGTGTGGACGTTCGTGTATACAATGATCATTCTTTATTTTATTTTTTTCATCTTTTGACTTACTGATTGATCTCATACATTGTTGCGTCAAACTTCAGAGTACTCTACACATAATTCACATGTTGTGCAAAATGTAGTCTTCTTTTTATAATGAATACACTTCAATTATTAGTATTATTACTATTACTATTTGTAATCTATCACACAGCTGTCTTATCACCTAATATATTAAGATGTCTATTTCAATTCAAGATTTTCCACCACTGATGAGACTATTCCTGTACAGTTTTCTACAAAGTGAACTCTTTTCTTTCTCATGCTCCCCCTTCCTCCAATCCGCCCACCACCACCCAACGTCACCCCTCTTTTTTTCATTCATCACATTTTATGTTGTTCTGTTGTTGTTGTTGTTTTTTTATTGCAGCACACAATGTCATTTTCACTCATTGATTGATTTCATTCCCTTGAACAAAAAAAACAAACAAACAAACACATTGATTCCTTATTTTATCATTCAAATTTTGAAATATGATTGTTTATGTATGTATAGAGAGGTAAGCAGTTCTATCTATTCTTTTTTCTCTGTGTGTGTCATAAATCAAAGAACTGACTTATTTATTAGTAAATACCTTGGAAATGTGTACAGCGCGTTTTGCACACAAAAGTGTGTCAGCTCCAAAACTAGAATGTTGTCACGTGTACTAACTGGCTAGCTAGCTAGCTAACTCATGATCTGATCTCAGAATGTGATATGCTTAGGGTTTTCGGCTAGGTAGATAAATAGATATCTTGCTGGACGCGTTGATAGCTGTCATATAAAAAGTGCTACGAAACGTGTGTTTCTCTAAGTGAAGTCGCACAGTTAAGTGAAGAGTAACTCTAAACTATAGCGACCCAAACGTATGTGATCGTCATAATGACCCTGAAAAAACTCTCTATCAACCAATCAGATTAGTTCGAAGTAAAACCGCGTAGTTGAAGCCAAAAAGTTTTGCGGAAATCTAATGTAATGTTCAAAAGAAATTGTTATACAGGGTAACTTTCTTGTATGTTCTGCTCTACATCACCCGCGAACTTAAAAAAAAGAGGGATGACATCCCTTTTTGGTCGGATTCTCTGCAATAACGTTCTGGATATCTGTACTGATAGCCATCAACAGTGGCTGCATATATCTGTAAATATATTACTCCTCCAAATCGACATGTTTTATCCTTCCAGATGAATCCATTATCCAAACAATACGAAAATGCTAGATCTGGATGAAATTTGTAAACACGTAATTCGTGTACCGCATGCATAATTCCGTGTATTTACTATGGTTTCATATGATTGGTTGACCGATTTCGTTTACTTGGGTCGCGATAGTCTACAGTTACTAAGTGAAGTTTAATAAACCGTGGGAGAATAGCATTACTGTTGGAAAGAAAGTGAAAAGATGAAGATGCGTGACAAATAATACTCTGTGCCTGTGACAGCGTGTGTGTGTGATGAGCGCCTTAAAACTCAAAGCGTGGAAAGCAGTTTCTGCGCCTAGTATTTGCGCAGTCGCAGAACCGACAGGGAAAAAATGCTTGAATTGGATCACAGATGACCTATTCGGAGTTGGTGTTGTGTTCTTACGTTCCGCTACTAACTTCCGTAATTAATTCGAGATGTACGAATGTTAGTCCTAGCCTTCTCTAACGTAAGACAGCATAGCTAGCTAATTTTCTCGCTACTCAAATAAAACACTTTAATGGTGCTGCACTTCTATCTGCTAGCAGAACAACGTCGTCCTCAGAACCTCACCACAGTGTAAGCAACTTGGATTTTGATAATAAATGCCTAAAGTTTAACCGTTGTCGAACTGACGCTTCTGGCATAGTGTGATATGTAAGAATGTTTGTTTCAGTTTGTTTACCTCTTTTTGTCATTTAGATTTTCAAAACGTGACGACTACTCAAGTTATCAGCTGTTAAAAAAGAAGTTATATCACTGTACTAATTTTAATTATATTCTGTTCAGCACTAAAATCGGAAACGTTATATTCATTAATTTGAAGAACTGTTTAAGGTTCCCAGATGGACAGTAATCTCTACCTAAATGAGTCGTATATTATGCATCGGTAATTGACAGGTAGAATGGTCGCTAACCGCCCACGTGGTCTGGGGAGTGATCCCCAGCCGATGCACTCTTAAACTTTGCTTAGCCATCAGTAAGTACGGTAAAGAAGGGAGGCTAGGCGCAAGGCTCGCAACCTCACCCCATAAATAAAGCACCACTGCTACTGAAACTGCAGAGTTCAAGATTGAATCCGTCTCGAGAAGCAAAGGAATAAATAAAGTCGTATATGATCTATTATTATTATTTATTGCTCCCTTGGGTTCCTAGTGGAATATAGGGCTTCAAATGAACGTCTCCATTTTCTTCTGTCTTCGGCTGTGCTTTTCACCTGAATCCATGTTAGTCCATACTTTTTTAGCTCCTCTTCACACGATCTCCTCCATGTCACCCTTGCACTGACGTCCCACACGCCGCATCCCTTTCGCGTTCCACTCGAGGGCTTGACGCGCGATGTCACCCAGCGGTCTCCTCAGCGAGTGTCCATCTCCCTCAATCTCCACTTTCTCCTGCATATTTGTTGGTTGGCGATTGGTTCTTGTTTTGTTTGTTAGTGACCATAGTTTCTTGTTGGTGATTGTTTCCGGCCCGGCCATCTGATCTTCAGTATAGAGCCAGCGAAGACAGTTGCTGGTTGATAAAGGTCTGCAACAGGCTGTTGGAAATATTCTTTGTGACCGGCCCACCAACTTTCTGATCCGTATAGAAGAACTGACTGACTTGACGTTCTTTATATTGAAAATCTGAGTGGATTTTGTTGTTGATGCTGAGTGAGTGACGAAGATTTCCAGATTGATTTCAGGTTGATGAATGTGTTCCTCGCCTTCCTTCTCGATTTGACATCCTCGTCCGTTCCTACTGCCTGTAGTTGAGACAATGCTCCCTAGATTAGTAAGTGAATGAAGTAACCTCTTTCAAATCCCTCCCGTTGATGGTGATTGGCGCTGGATGTTGCTGTTGTTGGTTGGTTATTTTCATAACCTCCGTCTTGTCTATGTTCACTTGGAGTCCTGTCTTCGCCGGCTGCTTTTTCGACCAGTTTGTCGGTCGGTTTTCGCTTGTAAGTCTTCGATTTTGTGACAGTGACATCAAACATAAATCATCCACGCGCGAAATCCAGGTCTTCTAGGTTCTTCACATCGGTCCAGGATATCCCTGTCTTCTCGTTTCCCACTCACTGTCTGACGCATAATCATCCAGTCCACCACAATTAGGAATATCATTGGTGATAATAAGCACCCTTGTCTGACTCCTGTGTTTACTCCAAACGCCTCGCTGAGTTTTCCGTTGTGGATCACTTGACTGACATGTGCCGTTGTCGTACAGCTGTTGAATAAGGTTGATGAATATTTGGGCACTGCACGCCGTAGTACTCGAGTAATTTCCAAATTACTTCACGGTCAACGCTGTCGAAGGCCTTCTCAAAGTCTATAAAGTTGAGGTAGAGGTTTGATTGCCATTCCATGCTTTGTTCTGTGATGATGATGCGTAGAGTTGCAATTTGGTCAGTACATGATTTGCCTTTCCTGAATCCAGCTTGTTCTGGTCGGAGTTCTGTCTCCAGTGCGTCCTTTAATCTCTCCAGGATGATGCGACTCAGGATTTTACTTGGCGTCGACATGAGCATGATTCCTCGCCAGTTCTTGCAGAGTGAGGCGTAAGTCGCCCTTCTTTGGTAGTTTCACGAGGTAACCTTTCCTCCAGTCAGTAGGCACCTTTCCCTCCTTCCAGACCTTTTGCAATAATGGAGTCAGCATGTCTGCTGTAGTCTCTGGGTCCGCTTTCAGTGCTTCAGGGGGTATTCCATCTGGTCCGGCTGCTTTTCCAGCTTTCAGAAGTTTGATTGCATTCAAGACTTCAGCTCTCGTTGGAGGATTGGTGTCAACTTGCAGTTGTGTGCGCGCTGTTGTTGGTATTTCTGGACGGGTTGCAGGTGATGGTCGGTTCAAGAGTCCTTTGAAGTGATCCGCCCATTGTTTAATCTGTTTTTCTTCCTTGGTAATTGGGTTCCCTTGGCTGTCTTTTATAGGTTTCGCTTGTGTTGATCTCTTCCCGGATAGAGATTTGGTTATCTGATATAGTGTCCTCAGGTCCCTTTTGCCTGCTGCCTTCTCAGCTTCAGTGGCGAGGTTGTCGTAGAATCGTCTTTTGTCCTTCCTAGCACTCTTCTTCACTTCTTTGTCCAGTGCTGTGTAAGTTGAGCTCAGCGTCTCCTTCTCCTGTCCGTCCTTGCATTGAATCATTTTCTCTTTCACCATTCTCCTCTCTTCTATTAATTTCCAAGTGTCCGTTGAGAGCCATTCCTTGTCTTGTCTCTTCTTTCTTCCTAGAACCGTTGAACACGTTTCGTTGAGAATCGCCTTCAGAGACTTCCAATGTTCTTCCACGCATGATTCTTCAGTGATGTCGCGTAGTGTTTCCTGCTTTGCTCTGACAGTTGCAGTGAAAGTGTCTTTTGTGGTTGTGTCCTTCAGTTTCTGAGTGTTGAACTTGCATTGTGGCCTATCCCCAGCTATCCTCGAGGCTTTTAGTTTCACCTTGAAAGTCCCTTGTACTAGATAGTGGTCTGAACCCACATCTGCTCCTCTCCTTGACCTTGTGTCCAGTAGGCTCCGTCTCCACTTTCTTGAAATTGAGATGAAGTCTATTTGGTTTTTGGTGTTTCCATCTGGTGAAATCCATGTCGTCTTGTGTATATCCTTGTGTTTGAACACACTACCACCAATCACCAAATCATTGAAGGCGCAGAAGTCTGAGAAGAGTTCACCATTGTCGTTCATTTCTCCGAGGGCCTCACGACCCATGGTGAGTTCTCTTCCTGTGTTGTCTCCTCCCAGCTTCGCATTCATGTCGCCCATCAGGATTTTGATATCGCCATTTGGGACGTTGTCCATTATTGCTTGTAGTTGTCTGTAGAACGCCTCCTTCTTCTCTTGTTCTGAGACGTTTGTAGGCGCATAGCATTGAATGACTGTAACTTTCCTTCCTTTTGAGTTGAACCTGGCTGTCATTATCCTGGAGGAGATTGGTTCCCACTGCATGAGAGCTTTGGCTGCTGTTGGTGACATCATGATGGCCACTCCCTCGGTGTGCTCATGGTTGTCCTCTGGGTGGCCGGAATAGATTACTGTCTCTCCAGTAGGTAGTTGGCACCTTCCAGTTCCGTTCCATCTGCTTTCGCAGATTCCCAACACTTCTATTCTGTACCTTCTCATTTCAGCGGCTATCTGGGCAGCCTTTCCAGTTTCGTACATTGTACGAACATTCCAGGTACCCATCCTTACTTTTGCTTTCATCGAATGAAGGCACATCGGCTGACTGGCTTCCCGAAGGCTTTCACCAGCCTGCGTCATTTCGCTTCCAGATGATGAAACTGTGGTGGTTAGATTTCATTTTGAACTGTGTGAATGACAAGTCGGTAACTAATTTGCGAGTTACCAGTTTCCAAAAGTAGATAGCGAAAATTTTTGTAGTTTCAATTGATTCGGCTTTTTGAGGTGAATCATACCGAGCATACTGACGACGAGTCCTTCTCCAAACGAGCGAAACAGCCGTCTGGCGTTTATTTTATGTTTACTTCGATCTGTCTGTTAAGCACTATGGATTGATTTGAGTGCTGTTCAACTACTCATAGTAATTAGCCAGTAATATACAGTCATCCATCGAAGAATAAAATTGTTTTGAACTTTCACTCAGTACTGCTTACATCCGCAGGATAACACTGAAAATATCAATACCTGCTCATCAGCACTATGTGTACTATGATAACGAAATTCATCTGTAATTAAAATACAAGCACATGTTGCAAGACGTTCAACCTTAAAAGCGAACTAACCATTCAGACGATTTTTACTCATATGTGTAAATGTAGACAACTAAAGTGACAGAAGCAGTTCAAAGTACCGTAATCATCTTTTTCTGTGGATTAAGTGTAGTTACGAACTCTATATAATTATATGCATCCCTTTGTCTTCTGAGGAGGACATAGGGCTTCAGACTTCAGTAGCTGTGGTGTTGCTTTTATTCGGTGGGATTGTTAGCCCAACACTCAGTCTTCCTTTTTATCTGGGCTTACCACCGGCTAGATGACGTTTAGGAGTGTGTCGGCCAGGAATGGTGCGTGGTGGGTGAGCTTCCTACTACTGAATCAGAG